TAGGTGCAGATCAAGTGTGTGGTTGAATTGCTGTATTTGTTTCCCTAGAGAGGGTTACCACATGGCTATCCTAATGGTCCAGTGCTGGGCAGCCTAATGGACTGGTGATTTCGCAGGGCCATCAGCCATGGCCTGTGAAACTGTGCAAAAGGGACTATTTACAAGGGCCTGAGCCGGATAGAGGGAGCCCACAGGGAGAGTGCAGTACCCTTGCACAGGTAACCCTAAGGATGCTACCACCCTGGGCTCAAGGACAATCTGGAAGGAGAGTCACATAGAGCTCCTTAAGACCCACCTAGCCCAAAACTAGCCTGATTTGTGCACACAGGAAGAGGCTAGGGGAATAAGAACTTCAAGCCCCTCCTTCCCTCTGGTCTTCTGGAGATCCATTGGCCAAGGTCCCATTGGCCAAGCCTACCTGAAGGCCACAGAGCCAGGGAACCCAAAGATGCCATCGATATAGTTTAGGCCTCCGGCAGAAAAGTCAGAAAAGGGATGGAGATTAGTCCTGGAGGGGAAAGAAGATGTGAGACACCCAACAAAGGGTTGTGTTTTTAAACAGGGAGACTTCACTAAGGAGTTATTCAAGTGAAGACATGAAGAGTGCAGTTAACTCATCAGCACTGGCCTGAATGTATCCCCTAAAATTGATATGTTGGAAATTTAACCTCCAGGAACGGTGTTAGAAGGTGTGGGCTTTTGGGATGTGTCTAGGTCATGAATCCACTCTCATGAATGGATTGATGCCATTACCAAAGGGCTTGGCAAAGGCAGTTCATTCCCTGTCTGCTCTCCCATCCTCTGCATGTGAGAACATAGCATTCCTCCCCCGCTAGAGGATGGAGAGAGAGTTCAAGATACCACCTTGGAAACAAAGACCAAGCCTGTAGGCACCGCGAATTTGACCTTGTCAGCCTCTAGGACTGTGAGAAATGAACTTCTGGCAGGGCATGGTAACAGGTGGCAGTAATCCCAGTACTCTGGGAGGCTGAGGCAGAAGAATTGCAAGTTTGAACTGAGCCTGGGCAACTTAGCAACTTATAGAGCCTTTCTCAAAAATAAATAAATAAATAAATACAAAGGGGTGGGGATACATCTTAGTGTGAATGTCCTGGGATCAATTCCAAGTACTGGGAAAAAAAAGAAACAAAACAAGGACAAATTTACGTTCCTTATGAATTCTCAGGCTCTTTTTTTCTTTGGGTACTGGGGATTGAACTTGGGTCCTTGCACTGGCGAAGCAGGCAGTGGAACCACTGAGCTAAATCCCGGGCCTCTCAGGCTCTTCTTTATAGTGGTATAAAATAGGCTAAGACAGGAACTGATGGCAGAGGAGTGGGTGTTGTATAACTTAGCACCTCGAAATGTGGCAGCAGCTTTACAACTGAGCGATGGGTAGAGGCTAGGAGAGTTTTGAAGTGCACATTGGAAAATCCTGTGTTACCACGACCAGAGGAGTAAGGGTCGTGCCGGGGAGGGCACAGAGGAAGATAAAGCTGGAAGGAAACCTCTTTTTTCCACAACACGTCTTGAGTAGTCCTGACAGCAAAGACCATTCCAACGAGGTTCCAGCCAGAAATGGACAGCAAGATACGAGAACCTGGAGGGGAAGTTCACTCCCGCCCCCTAGTGGCAGAGCTTGCCTGAATTGTGTCTGTACCCTAGCACCTCACGGAAGGCAGGATTTAAGAGTGATGAACAAGAGCATTGGGCAGAAAAAGTCTTAAAGCTCCAAAGCATTCAGAATGCTGCATAGCCTCTGCTGAGTCATTGTAGCAAAATGTGAAAATAGCAAAATAACTTTTAAAAAAGAGAATGAGGTCCTGAGTTCGGTCCCCAGTACCCAAAATAAAATAAAATAAAAGAGAATGATTTGCAGTTTAGAGGAAAATATTCCATAAAGACTTGGAAAATTCTTAGCTTAAGTAAAGAGTAAAAACCTGTGTTTAGAAGAGGAAACAACTGTGGCCAAGCAACTGTTGGATAAGGAGATTAGAGTGGACAGAAGGAGGTCAAGTGCTTTATAAAGTATCTGATAGGAAGTGTTTTTTTTACAATAGTACAAACCGACTAAGACACCATCTGTGATAGTTAAGCTTGATTGGTTGGTTTAGGAGCCACCTAGGGCATTCGCAAAGCACATTTCTGTGTTTGCCTGGATAGGTCATGGAGGTGTAACCTTGAGTATTATATTTGGCCCCTGGCCCCTTCTTCTCAGGCACTGTTCCCCTCTGCTCCCTGGTGCCATGAATTAAACATCATTGCTCTGCCATGCCTTTTCCCCTGGGATGTTTCTACCTGGATGCCACCTAACCATGGACTGAGTCTCCTGAAACTGTGAAGCCAAATTAAACCTCCCCTCCTTTAAACTGTGGGTGTCAGACTGTTTATCTCAGAGATGGGAGAGCTAATCCTAACAGAAGCTCTATATGACCCATAGATCCCTATTTTACAGGGGAGGAAACTGGGGTACAAGAAAAATAAACAACTCAGAGTTGTCTAAGATCACACGATTGAGAGTTGGTAAAGTTGGGATTTGAACCTAGAAAGTTTAAACCCAGCGGTCTTGCTCTTAAACAAAATAGGATATAGGTGAACCATCCAAAAATTGAGGGCAGAACAAATGTCAAGACACGTAAGATTGTGATTGGCAGTCATAGATGTTATTTACGGAGCACTGACTACACACTAGCCACTGTGTTAAGTAGCACGAGGGGGATACAGATGAACAGGATACTATGTTTGTGCTCAGAGAGATCACCAGCAAGTTGGAGCATGGGGAGGAAATACAGGAATGTTTACAAATCAAGTCTCAGCAGACTGGGACACATTCTACTGTACGACTACAGAATGTTCCAGAGCACTAAGGAAGGAGGTTCACACATCTGGGCTGTGGGAAGTTTTCTGGGGGCAGTGGCTTTGGAGAGTCCAGGAAAGGAACCATGTAAGCAAAGATGTGGGCGCCTTTGGAGGACAGCCAGCCACCTGCCTGGTTCGAAGGCATGAGATGTGTGCCCAGAGAGATTTTGGGTGGGACACCGGCATGACTTAGGGTCTCACTGACTCACCGTGAGGTGATGGTTCCCTTTCCCCTACGGAGAAGTCCCAGCTTGGTGCCGGCCCGTTTCACAACCTAGCACTTGCTCATCTCAGTTTGGGGAGAGGGGACAGCACAGAGGACTGATTGAACCTGGGGCCTCTGCACGGAGCTACGTTCCCACTCCTTTTTATGTTTATTTTTCGAGATGGGGTCTTGCTGAGTTGCCCAGGCTGTGTTCAAACTTGCAGTCCTTTAGCCTCAGCCTCCCAGAGTGCTTGTATTACAGACCACGTTACTACACCAGCTAATTTCACTTTTTAACTCCAAATTCACAAAACTCTCATCCTTCAATGAGCCGTCAAGCTCTGCTTGGAACCTAGCATGGTTTTGTTTTCATTGTCTTAATTTTTACAGTTGTGTCCTATTTAAGCCAACGATGGTTTTTTTTTTTTTAATATTGTTATGTATTTGTGTATTTTTCTCTTACAGACAAATGTATTTGAGAAAAAAGAGAGTTGATTTAAAGAAACACTATTGAATGACACATTCAGATGGTTTGTGGCTCTGGCAAAAACCCCATGTCCTGACATGCAGGACACCCTAGTGGAAAGTTTAAGGTTGTAAGGGCAGCAAGAGAGGGGAAGAGAGTCTGGAAAGGGGCCTGGGCACCATGGGAAGGAGGATGGGCTGGCTTTATTCTGTCAACCAGGAGCGCGGGACATTGGCTGAGGGGTAGGCAAGGATTAGGGTCGAAATGGCAAGGCTCACTCTGGCCTATAGGGATGGATGCCGGCTGGGCAGCAGTGGGGAGATGCACTGGGACCTGGCATAGGGCCCTGGGCCACAGAGAGGCACCCAAGTGGAAGAGGAAGGGGTGGGCCAGAGCTCCCTCAGCTATGCCCACCTGCTATCTCCTTGACCTGCTGTGGACAGGTTTGCTCTTCAGGGACGAACTTCCAGCCTCTCCCACGTGGCTAAGAACATTCAACAGCCTCCGATGGGATTCCCAGGGCGCTATGGTCAGATATGGTTTGTCCCCGGGGCAATGGCACTGGGGGATGGTGGAACCTTGAAGAGGTGGCCCTGGGTGGGAGGTCATTGGGGAAAACACCCCGGGAATGAAGTAACGCCCATCTCGGGGTGAGTGAAGTTTCTCGGGACTGGATGGGTTACCTCAAGAGAGGGTTGTTATAAAGTAAGTTTGGCTTTCTTGGCTCTCTCTGTTACTTCCTCTCTCATCACACATTCTTATTCCTTCCTTCTCTTGCTCTCTCTCTCTCTCTCTCTCTCTCACACACACACACACACACACACACACACACACACACACACAACCTGCCCTCACCTACTCTCTGCCAGGAGGCCCTCAGGAGAAGCTGTTGCTCACCCTATGCTCTTAGACTAATAGGGAAAACTTTCATAAATAGCAAAAACCTATAAACTGTTACAATGTAAAATGGCTTCTGCTGTCTCTAACAGCAGTTTGCTATGTTTAGCTCAGAACTAATAGGCACCGAAGGCACTAATTGCTAAATGAGGCATTGGTCTTAACCTGAGATAACAGGGCACATCAAGACCTTGAGCTCCGAAGAGACTGGAGCCACGTGATCGTAAGAGTGTCTGGATGAAAGAACCCACGGCTAACATTCGCTCCCCTGACCCTGAACACCCCTTTCCTATGGACTAGAATAGACAACTAGGTGAATCTTAAAGGTAAACTCCCAACTGCAAAGAACTGCTACGTCTGGGTTGAAAAGATTAACTATTCTGTGACTGTGATTTGAACTGTGAGAACAGAATGTAACCACCCAAAAGAAGTCAAGGCTGTGAAACCCTATAAAAGGAGGAGTTGTAGCCCAGGGTGTGGTCGATCCAGGCACGGCTTATGTGCGATCGACCCTTATCGATGAGTAAATATGTTATTTTACTTCCATTCTGCTGCCTCTCTGTGTGTCACTTACTTTTATATAAAGTTTCTGGTCTCGTGAACTGTGTGATAGCAACAATGGTAATAACAACAAACCAGACTAACACACCGAGTCACGGTAACATCAGTAGAGGCTGGCCTGCCTCTGTCTCATTAGGCCTGGGAATTGGAGGTACAGTCAGAAATGATGGAGAAAATTGAGTCACGCCTCTCCAGTACGCGTTTCTTCCTGGGGAAATGCCGATATCTGCTTGATGGCCTGCAGTGAGTCATTTTATTCCATAGGATGAGCATCTGATTTTCCAAGACCTTCAGCTTCATCTCGCTGAACAAAAGCCGTTCAAGGATCTTGTCCTGAAGGGCAAAGCAGGCATGCATTTTCTCTATTTCTTTCATGTTCTTGGCACTGTTGCTTTTGTGGCCCGCTTCCGAAGTCCTTGGTTTCTCTGCCTCCTCCTAAACTCCCCACCACCAGGAAGAGGGCAAAGTTCGTTAATAATGATGATGCCTTCCCACACTGAACACCTGCTCCCTGTCCTGATCGCACCTCAGACCTTCCCCTCATTTTGTGGGTGATAGGATGAGGTCCCATGAAGAAAACTCATCTTCCTCTTGTCACATAGACCCCAACTCCCAAGAATCCATGGTGACGTTTGGTTCTACAGGAATCATCAGCCATGAGCCCTTAATTCAAACACACCTGTCTCCAGAGTCATTTTTCCAGTGTGGCCATCTGAGCGTTTTGTTAGGCCCAGGAACCTCAAACTGCAGTCTCAGTGCTCTCGTGACATGCTCAGTGATTGCCCTTAATTAGTAATTCTTTGTTTTTCTTTTTGAATTCAGCTACAAACTACTGACATTTACTATTTCAGATGTGCCAAAAAAGTAAATATTACAACAAACATCGATAGTCTCATACCATACTCCCACATTTAAGAAATAAAAAGTCACAAATATAATTGAAATCCTCTGTGGACCCTCAACTTGTAATTCCTCTACCCTCCTGAAAATCATCTCTTCAACTATAATCCTGAATTTGATATTTATTTTTTCCATGTTTTTTTTTCCCCAGCCCTGGGGATTGAACCTAAGGTCCTGGCATTGAGCTAAATCTTTGGCCCTTTATAAAATTTTTTTAAAAAAATTTGAGACAAGTTCTCATTAATTGTCAGGGCTGAGTTTGAACTTGCAATCCTCCCGCCTCCAGTGCAGGGACTGACTATAGGGGTGTGTCACCATGCTTGGCTTGCATGGATTTTTTTATTCGAGGCTGTTCTGTTCTCATTGGGTGACAAGGAGCAATGTCTGGAAATATGTTTGATTGCCACAAGTGGGGTGGGGTGATACTGGCACCTCCTGGATAGAGACCAGGGCTGCTGCTAAACTTCCAAGAATGCAGAGGACAGACCTTGCTACAAAGAATTATCCTTCTCAGAGTGTCAGTAGCACCAAGGTCGAGACTTTCACTTAACACATATGCAGCCTTAAATGGGTGAAGGCATTGTCTTGCCTTTGTTGCTGTTGCTGTTCGTTTGAGACAGCGTAGTTCAGGCTGGCCTTGAACTCACTATGTAGTTCAGGCTGGCCTCCAACTCAGGTGATCGTCTTGCCTCAGCCTCTTAAGTGCTGGGGTTACAGGTGTGTGCCACCACATTCGGCTGCATGATTTTAAACCTTATATAAAAGCTACCTGTTGCAGTGTAAGTGTAGAATGTCCCCCAAAGGCCATGGGTTAAAGGCTTGCTCCCCAGACAGTAGTGCCATTGAGAGGTGGTGAAACCTTTAAGAACTAGGGCCTAATGGGAGGTCTTCAAGTCTAGGAGGGACACCCTCAAAGGAAATTGAGAGTCCAGGTTTTTAGCTCCTTTTGCAGTATCTGGCCATGAGGTGAAAAAGCTCCACTGTGCCCACTCACCATGGGCCCAAAAGCAACAGATCTGCCTTACCATGGACTGGAACCTCCAAAAATGTAGGAATAAACTTTTCATTTTGTCTTTATAAGTTGATTACTTCAGGTATTTGTTACAGCAATACAAAGCTAACACAATTTCATAATCTATGTACGTTTCTGCTATCTTCATTATTATAGAGTTTTACCTAGGCCGACACATGTACCTAATTTATCTATTTAAGTATTTTTCCACTTAAAGTAGTTCATACTGTTACTGAAGCAGGGAGCACGTTGACATAAATCAGGAATAGGAGAGTCCAGGATGATCCCTATTTTATAGCTGAAGCAATTGAAGTCTTGAGGAGGCAAGTGATTTATTTGTCCACTGTCACCCACAAGGAAGTCACAGGGCAGGGACTTAGACTGGACTCTCAAATTCCTCAGTCTCGCCCCACCGTCCTGACCCCTTCTTTGTCTCTGCCCCCCACCCAATCTAGCTGAATATCCATCCCACAACCTCAGCGACAGCTGAGGCCCCTCTTCCTCACCTGTGGGGATTCTGAGGGGGTGGCTTTGGATTCATAGTTGACCAGCCAGTTGCTAAGCAATAGCAGAAGGAATAGGAACCCAAACAAGAACGGCTTGTAGTTCATCAGCCAAGTCACCACTGCTCCCACCATGCCTGAGGAAGTGTTGAGTGGAGACTCCTAAAAAGAAGTACTAGTTCCCCCAACATTATGGTGTGGAGGCACAGAGGCCCCAGAACTCTGCCTTAGTCCCTCCCCTCCATGACAGGAGTCATAGCCACCAGCTCCCCTGAGTCATAACCAGTGAAACCTCCTCCACTCGGCTGCCACATAACAATAATACAATTCCTCTTATGTCTCAAGCACCCACTATGTGCCAGGCTCTTCAACAGGCAGTTTGCAAGCATCATCTCCTGGTGTGCTCATAAAAGCCAGGTGATGTAGGGCTTAGCCACACCTCAGTTGTCATTTGACTGTGCTTCTGGGTCCAGCCACTGGGTGCAAAATGGCCAGTAACACACAGCACCTGCACTTGCGTTGGGGAGATGGCAGAGAAAAACGACCCAGAACTTGGAAGTAAAGCAAAAAGATTACTGTGCATACTGGAATACTGTTTAACAAGACTGCCTACTGATTACCTGATGCCTTAGGGAAAGTAATTTTGTTTGACTTATTATTTAATACTGATTAAGGTCCCTACTCTGTAAAGTCAGATGTTGCCTTTGTAAAAATGGACAAGTCGCTCTAGCAATTGCACTTCTGGAAATATTATTCAGCCTTAAAAAGGAAGATCTTGTGTCACAACATGGATAAAACTTGAGGATATTTACTCTAAGTAAAATATGACAAGAAAAATACAGTATATGATTCCACTTATACAAAGTACCTACAGTAGTCAAATTCACAGAAGTAGAAAGCAGAATATGGCTACTAGGGGCTGGAGGGTGGGGAGAATGGAGTTGTTTAACAAGTGAGGTTTTGTTTTGTTTTGTTTTTGTTTTTGTTTTTTGAGACAGGGCCTCACTATGTAGTTGAGACTAACCTGGAACTCACTATGTAGCCCAGGCTGGTCTTGAGCTCACAGCGATCCTCCTGCCTCAGCCTCCCCGAATGCTGGGATTACAGGCGTTCGCCACCATGCAGTTTAGACTTTTTAAAAGTAAGAATTTCATAATTCTTCCTTTGTCAAGTAATAACTGTTAGTAAATACTGCTTGAATTGACTAATGTTTGGGAGAATTAATGAGTTACTAACGCATGCACCCGAGGGAAACAGTCGCCTTCGGAAGCGCAGTCTGGCCCAGGAGACAGGACCTCTCCGCCGGTGCTGGGACTGATTGCTTCAGCTGCGGAGCCGCTCTAGCCAGCCCAGCGCTCTCGGATACGGAGCCGCTCTAGCTTTCAGGATGCCGCTCTATGGCAGGGGGGAGGGGCGGGGCCCGTGGGCGGGGCCGGGTCTTTTTGTCTGGACGCTGCGAGAGCGCGCACAACGCGTGCGTACGCGACGG